TCAATATATATTTTAAATTTGAAAATACTGTGTTTGTATTCATCCCCCCCCTTCTACAAACTGTTTCTATTCTTGTAGACCCTTACGGGACCATGAAGTTCATGAAACTCTCTGATTCTCAGCAGTCCAATCCTTATGAAAACGATCTTGGTACTTTACCACTCTATTACTTGCAAATGATCATAGTGTCGGCGTGCACTTGCACCACCATTGTGAGGACTTTGTGCCAACTGTGTGAACACTTACGATTCTTAGCTATTAGGTCACAATCATCTCGGCAAAATCTGCTCTGGTAACGGCTGTTGGTCTTCAATGGTTGGTCAAAAAGACAGGCAAATCCTGCTCTGATACCAACTGATGATACAGTAGGAAGTGCAGAAGGATCGACAAGCGTCTAAATTCCTGATGGTTGAGAGTTACAAACAATAAAATTCAAGAATTTTAAGAGAAAACTCCTAAAGAGAAGAACTTTTATTAAACTGATAATCTGATAAATAATGAAAGCAACAATCCTTGTTTATAGTCTAAACTAGATTAAAAAAAAATACTAAAACTGAATTCAAACTAATTATAATCCAACTATAAAACCATTAAAGTAATTGGAGATAAAGGAGAAAAAACTAATAGGATAGCAGCTCAAACCTGCCCGGAGGGCAGGGATGACTTTCCCCGCGAGTTTAAGTCACATGGCTACTCGCGGGAGCCACCGGTTCGACCTTCGATTCCAGTGGTCAACGCGACTTTTCCGGCGACTTTAGTCGCGTAGAAAGTCATGGTAGACACCATTTATGCTTGTTTACGATTTTGAGCTAGCCCTCTATTGTACTTGCAAGTCCCTTTATATCATTAAAGAATGTTTAAAGAGATAGCAATGAATAACATCTCCGGATTGGAATCCAGCGAATGGATGTTTTATAGAGAGTTATAAAGATCGTATACATATATTAAGACGATATCAAGAACGTAGACAAGAAGTATTATTCATTTTAATATATTTATTTTTCGATTTAATTTTCTTGTCAATAATCATTCAAGATTTAATTTCTCGTTCACAAGGGTACATAGTCATTCAAGTATGATCATTCTACAGCATGACCTTCTTGTTGAAAATCCAGCTAAACTTCACACCATGCTGTTTCATTTTCTGAGCCCGCTCATGACTACGCTCCTGCATCTTCCTGATCCTTGGTGCTAACCCACACACRTACTCTTGTGCRCKWCGTCCYTCGCTCGTCAGCSCCTCCAACTTCTCYAGCCTCCAYCGTYGCACTAAAAACTCCAAAAYAYTAGCGTAATCACCTGCSGTGTAGACCCCSAGACGMTGGGATACTGCAGAGTAATGGCTAAATAGAGATGTATCGCACCCGTCATTCATGAGATAAGCGGGCATGGTGATCTTCTTTTGCATCATATCCGCGATTGCTAGCATGGTGGTCGTGGTATCCACTTCAAGTAGCTTCTCGACTATTTTGATGTAGGCCTTCTCGTGACGCTTTTCATCAGATGCAATGATGCCGCATATGCGAGCAAGCACAAGATCACCCTTCTCCTTTGCTAGACGTGCAGTGTTTCCATGTGACACGAAGGTGGCACTTTCTTGGAAGGATGCATATACGAAGCCTAAGTAGGGATTATTCTCTGTTCTTGGATCCTGTAGGAATATAAAGTTAACTGATTGAAATCAATTTATTTACCACTTGATGAGTGTTCATTTTGATAAACTAATAGTAAGAAGCATTATATTAACCATGCCGGAAGCAATCAGATTCTGGACGGTCCTCTCTATCATCAACATATCCACCCGACCAGAAAGATATAGATAAGTACGAAGCAAGTCACCGTGCCGGTTCTCTTCCGCAGTCCAAGCCCGTGTCCATGTGGCCCAAGGGCTTGCACTGACTCCAGTTTCATCACGGATCCCATCATAGTTGTTGATGATGGTCTCATATGTTGGCAAAGCCTCCTCTGTGATCATATTACCTATAAGAACCACAAGGTAGTCATCGGGCAACATGGCTGACTGATCACGGAGGGTCTGCACCTCGGTGACGAATTGATCGAATGGCTGTGAAGAGTTGGGTAGGAAATCACTGGGCTGCCAGGACTCGTCCGTTGGTTTGAGGAAAGGGAGGATGGATTGTGCAACCCAGGGCTCGAGTGACTTGATGATCTCCACTTTTTCCGATGGCAGTGAGTGGGCGATGGCATGGTGGTGAGTGGTGGTCATCTGGAGTCCTGTTACATTGGCACGTGGGAGTATATGATGATGTTGAGTTTTGGGTTTGCCAAATGAGGGGCATCTGAAAGCAGGAGAGGAGATGCAATGCATGGTTCAATTTTCGTTGATTAACTTCTTCTTCATATCTCTCGACAAACCTCCATTTTATAAGCCCCATGACAACATCAAATAATAAAGGCTCTGCCGGTTCTAGGAGTGGGTCTGTGGCGGTAGGCTTAGACCACATGATGAATTAGCTACGACGACTTCAGATTACTGATCCCAGTTTAAAAAATACCTCCATTTTATAAGGATTGCTGTTTTCAAAATTTTATGTATCATTTGCAAAAAGAAGGGTTTTTTTTTTCAAAAAATGTTTGTAAAAGTGGGTTATAAATAGTGTGTTGCGTGATGTGACGGTGAGGTCAAGTCTTAATCCTTAGGAGTCATGACTAGATCATGAACTTTTCAATGCTGAACTTTTTGCGGCAAATCTCTATATCATATATAATATCATATACATATTTATATCATATATAATATTATACACGTAGAAATATGTCTTAAATTATTACTCGATGAGCCAATGATAGTAAACAATTTAAATTAGGTTATAAATCTTAACAACAAACAAATAAGACATTAAAAAGATAAGAAATATCAAATATAGTGTTAAAAAACTATGCTATGGTCATGAAATGTCACAAATTTAAAGTGGCGTGAGATACAAGACTTGAGCCACACGGACCCATGACGGCTGTTAGGACGAGCCTTTTAGAAAAATGCTTATAATGTGTAAAAGTCTGAAAAATCCAACAAATAAATATATTAAGTCATTAGACAACTTTTTGAACAAATAAATTAATGCATTCAGCGCCCTAAACCATAAACCCTGAAACCGATCAAATGGGTTCTTTTGATCTATAAAAATGACCAGTAACATGTTACAATGGTAAAAGTCGATTTTGAACTTCAAAAAAGAAGGAAAATTGGGACTTCAATTCATCAGCGACAACCATCGACGTTGGTAAACCTAAATATGCATATTTCTCTCCAACAACGCCCCCTTCAATTCGATGTCGCCCAATTGTTGTTGCGACAGTCTTTATTGCCATTACTCTCAACCCCATCATATCTCCGCCCCACCTCAAGTCATCTGCAATGCGGGTGAGGATGCGAGTGTCGGTTTCGATGTATGCTATGAGTTCTGCAAGCTTTGCTTCTGTTTTGCTCTCTCAATTTTGACTTTGATTTATGTCTCTCTTTGAACTCTACGAAAAGTGGTGACTTCTGGAATCTTCTTTTATTTGTTTCTTGTTCACTTCATGTTTCTGTGTATGAAATGTGTTTCTTTCTAAGCCGCTATATTTGGAGAATTGTAGTGAAGCTATTTTCTTGTTTACTTAATTTAATAGTGGCCATATTTGGATAATTGTAGTGGAGCTATTATTACTGTTTGTTTCTCTTCACTTCATTTAATAGTGGCCATATTTAGACAATTCTAGTGAACAAAATTTATTTAATACTAGTCGTGTATACGTGCAATGTGGTGGGAGCTGTGAATTTTAATGATTTTGAAGTTTCATTGTTTTTATTGGAGAAGATTTAACGATGATATAAATTACACTTGGTCTTCACATATTAATACAATTTGAATATATGAGTTATGGTTCCAATTACAATCTATCAATGAAAAAATTGTATGACAGTTTAAAATTCAATATATTTAAAATCCGACATATTTAAACGACTCCACAAATTTGTTCGATTTACACCAAGAGCAAAGAATCAAGAGATCGAGAGCGAGACTGAGAGTTATAGAGTAATTGAATGGGAGAACTTTTAATAATTCATGGTGAATATCAATTTGAATCTCACCTTAAGGGATGAGAAGAAGACATAGAGGTATTTGAGGGTGAAGGCATGAGTGAAAGATGTCAAAAGTATCTTGGGAATATAAAAATGAAAAGTAATAATGTGCATTGGTAACTTGTACTATATGTTATTTTAATTGTAGATTAAGATATTTTAAGATTGAATGCATACAGTAGTAGTACTTAATGCATTATTAGTTGTTTTTAAGACTTTGTGCATAAATGTATGGTAATTTGTGCATTAAAAATAGTTTTTAAAACTTTTGATAAATCTGGTTTATAAGGTAGTATAGATTTTTGTTTGTTTCTATTTACTTCGCAATTTTTAGAGCCAAACATCAAGATCCATTCATTATAGTTTGGTTTGTTAATCGTTGATAAAATGCTAGGGTAGATTGAATTTGGATATGTTCAAAAAAGAAAATACTTATTATGTTCTTTTATTTATATGTATTGTACAATGTGTACTTGATGCAGATTTATGGGCGCAAACAGTGGTCGCAGGAAGGGAGATTGTACGGTTTTGGTGCACGTCGTGATCGTAATTATGTGCGATTCACGGGAAGGAAGTTCAATATAGCCATGCCGATGAGGCATGCATGTTTATTTTCGCTATATATATAAAACCCAACATTACGTTTGCTTACTCATTTCGTGTATTTGTTTACTAGTTGTAGGTACCAAAACAAATAGAAAAACTTGAAGAACAACGAGAACAAATTGAACAACGAAATACAAAATTTCCTACGAATATCCCTCGAAAATAACCAGCAAAATTCTTTTGTCGATGATCCATCGGGAAATGTTGGGTTGGTTGTCTGTAGTTCATGGCCCGGTAAATAATTAGACACATGATTTACGATGGTGTCACTACAAGAAATTTGGTTTTTATAGGATGCCTAAAATGTTTAAACATCCTAATAAAATTCCTTATAGGATTTAAGTTTATATGACCAAATAAAAAAAATGTTTATCTAAAGGCGTTTTAACAAGTTTTTTAGAATGTTCTTAAAATAAAGTGTCCTATTAACTAATTTATAGGATACTATTTGAAAAAGTGTTCTATAAACATAAGTGTCCTATAGAAAGATGAGTTTATAGGACACTTCTCAAATATGTCATATAAAATAGTTACTAAGGGCTTGTTTGTTTTTTAAAAAAAAGCTCTTAATACCTCTTAAGTCTGAATCGGTTAGACGTTTTTATTTTCAGACCGTTTGATTTTTAAAAAAATAAGAGCTGAAAAGCTCTTATTGTTCTCTGAATTTTTAAGTGGTAGTCTAAACTCTTAATGGGCTCTTATTCACACACCATATCGATCTCTCGTTCTCTCGCTTGATTTCCAGCAACCAAATCATATCGATCTATCCCACATCATACGATCTAGACACCATATCGATCTCTCGTTCGGTCTCAAGTTACCGATCTATCCAAAACGATCTCTACAAATCGATCTCTCCTATATATGAGTTATTTTCTGAGTATGATCAAACCAATGRGCAAAGGATGATGACGACACAATTAATGCAATATGAATATTGGTTCTAGTCGTTATGAGATTTTTTTCGTGTTTATATTGATTCAGATTTCAGACTTCAGACGTAAAAACAAACAGTCTAACTGATTTAGATTTCAGACTTCAGCACCACCTCTTATAAATCAGAAGTGAAATCAGAATTCAGCACATCTTAAAAAACAAACACCACATAACACAATTTATTTTAAGGCGTTCTAAATTTTTTGGTAAAACGCTTAAAAGTGTTCCTATATAAACCCGTTGTAACGCATTTAGATAGGATGTTTTATAATTCGATCTTATAAACTCAAGTCCTATAAAATATTCAATTCGGACGCTTAAACATTCTAGGTTTCGTCTTATAAAACCAATTTATTTGTAGTATGTGACCGTCGTAGTCCATTCAAAATTAAACTCGTCGGAAAGTCTTGGGTAAACACTATCAATGATCCGTTAGTGTCATGTCATATTACATGATGTATTACCAACAATTTATGTCATCAATAATATTCGAGAAGTTGTCGAAATGGCATCGTTAATATTTTCTGACCGAATATTTTTCTATTATATCGTCAGATTTGAAATGGATGTGTCTATAGGTTGATAACGTTGTTTCTAGCAGTGTATTACTTTTAACAAATTCGTTTTAAACTCAGTCAAAACCTTTAAAATATACTAATATTAAATATTATAAACTACAATAAAATAAGGTTTATAGGACATCAAAATTGTCTAAACGTTCTAATAAACTGTTTTATAATACTTAATTTATAGGAACAAACTATAAAACGTCCTATTTAAACTATTGTGTGAGTTTATAGAACGTTTTTTGGGCGTCGTAACAAGTTGTTAAGAACATTTTTTTTTATAAAAAGAACGTTGTATTAGCTATTTTATAGGACATTGTTTTGAAAATCTGTCTTATAAAAACAAGTGTCCAATAAAAATATGTATCCATATAACACTTCCCAAAACTGTCTTATAAAATAGCTAATACGACTTTTGTAAACAAAGTGTCCTAAAAAACTTGATAAGACGTCCAAAATCATCGTATAAACTTATTACAACATTTTTGGATATTACATTTTATTGTTTGGTTCTATAAACTTAAAATGTATAAAGTGTTCTATTGAGACACCTGTAAATTGTTGACGTCCTATAAATCCAATTTTATTGTATTGTAATACGTAGGGGTGTTCAAAGACCCAACCAACCCAACCCAACCCAACGCGAAATAGCTCAACCCAAAGCAACTTAATGTATAGTCAAGTTGTAAAATTTTCAAACCGTAGGTACTGTGTTGATATTGAGTTACTATTATTTGAACCCAACTCAACCCGATGAACCCGATATCATTTTATTTCTTGGAGTTAGTATGATTGTTAAATTTATACTAATATATACATTAGACAATTACACTATCACGTACACTCTTCATATACACATATTTTCAATCTTTTTACATCTCTATATGACTCATTCGTATATATGTTCAGTAAATGTGAACATATACATGTAAATTAACAAAATTAACTGAATGTGATATACGTAAGAAGTGTGAATAAGTTGTATCAAATGGTTGATGATGAAAAAGAAATTATGAGTAGAGAAATATAACATTTTCAAGGTTAGAAAAATATATTAATGTACAAAAGTATCAACACAACCAACCCGTACGGGTCAGGTTGGGTTGGGTGGGTTGCATTTTGGTTTGGTTTTGGTTGAGTTAAGATTTTTCA